ACCTTCTTTGTTATGGAAATACTGGGCCACCCCCCCCTGTCCCCCCCCCCCCCCCCCCCCCGCAAGCCTGGATAGGCCAGAGACAGCACCGCAGCTGCAGAGGCATCTCCAGGAGACAGTCCCTGGGGCCAGCAGAGGGGCAGGTGAGACAACATGAACCGCAGAAGAGATGACAGGTTTGGAGCAGAAAGCAGAGGCTACAGAAAGGGAAGTGGGGCTTCCAGGACATACACAGGGCTTCATCAGCTACTTGCTCCCTCTGTGACCTCAGACCCAAGATCCGAATTGCAGGTAGCAGCTACTTGATCATTGTGATGTGTTACTTATTTGTAATTTCTCTAAAAACTTGTTATGGCTTCCTCTTTTAAAATACACCAGCATGAAAACAGAGGGGGTAAGGGGAATATTTTCAATAGAAAGTACTGGGAGAGGGTTCCTATCCTTCATATGCAAAGAACTCTTCAATATCAATAAGAAAAAGAAAAGACAAATCAAGGGGCGGGAGGGAGGGATGCATGGGAACAGATTTAAATGGGATAATCATAGAAGAAAAGTGAATGATGAACTGATTACAGATGATGAACATTAATAAAGAAATGCAAATTGAAGTATCCTGACAATCAGCACAGCTCCTGGGAGGTTTAAGGAGCGGGTTTAAGGCAATAATGTAGATCAGTCTGAGAATATCACACCCCCATGTAGTGTCACAGAGGGTGTCAGCTGCCACAACCTCCAGGTACCAGAATGTCTTACAAATAGGCAATCGTTTTACCTGTAGAAAAGGACCCATAGGACCCCCACACAAAGATGACACACTAGATAGAGCATTCCTTGCAGCCCTATTTATGATAATAGGAAAGAAAGGGGAAGCAAACACAGGAGCAAAGAGTTAAATAAACTCCAAGGCATCATTTCTGTGCAGGCACTGAAATGCATATTGAAAGGATACAGATGACGTGGAACAGGTTTACCGTCTGTGGCCAAGGATGAAGTAGGTTTGCAAACCAGGTATTGGAAAATTGAGTGAGTAAGTGAGTGTGTGTACCCACATCTATCTACTTAGAGATGTTGCAGGTGTTTTGTTTTGTTTTGTTTTTGTTTTTGTTTTTTTACAAGGAACATACATACATCACTTCTGAAATCTGAAACTAGCAAAAGCTTTCCTTTCGGCAAATACTAGGTTCTAAGTAGAGCGGAACTTCGCTCTCTGCTAGCGCACCCCTTCCCTGCCCCGCTGAAAGCTCTCAAAGCCAAGTGCGATACCTGCCCCTCCTCCTCGGTGTCCGGTCTTGTCTTCCCGAGGGTTACCGCGGCTCCCGGCCACTCCAAGCCGCGCAGGAGACGCGGGTCACACGCTTCCTCAGGCGATGGCTCTTGCCCAGAAGCAGTACTTCGAGCTCATGGAAGATGCCCTGGGACCCCCAGGGCCCAGTCCCCCGCAGCGCTCTCCCAGTCTGCAGCAGGCTCGCCTGGATCCTGCTCTGTCCCAAGCCGCTCCCGCTCAGGACTGAATGGGACGGGGAAAGAACTCAGCCGGAGAAACAGCTGGAGGGAGCGGCGAGGGAGGAGCAGGAAACGGGCTGCCCAGGGAGGGCGGGGGCTGCAGCTGGGGGAGTGGGGGCTCCCACCAGCGCCCGCGGGGACCGGGCTGTGGGTGGCAGCGGCCCGCTGAGGATGGCCCGCCCCTCTGGCGGCCTAGCTCCGAGGGAGCTCTGCCCACTGTCTGGGTGCAAACCAGGAACACGTGCGGCGCGGGGCTGCTTGAGAGGGGTGCGGGTCCCTTCAAGGGGCGGGAGCGCCAGACTCTGACTGGGAGGCTGGGCCTGGGGCGCTTGGCGGGTGCCATTCTTCCCACCTGGATGCCGGTCCCTCACTGCTTGTGGCCAGTGGTCTCCAGCCCCTTGCTCTCTCCGAGGCCACCTTCTCACCCCAGGAAGCCTTCCCCGACCCGCCGGGGCTGCCCTGGGCATACAGGGAGGCAGCCACCTCCAGGTCTCAGCCTATCACCAGCGCTACAGCACTTGGTCCTTGCTAGTGTGGACTGTCCTTGGGGAGCCCTCTCCTTGGGGAGCTCTCTGGCCTCTCCCCTAGCCCACGGGTACCTGACTCCTGTTTCTTCACCCCCATCCGTGGGATAATCAAAGCAACTAAGCCCCCAAAGGTGCTGGGCACCACATACCTAATCCTCATGGCAACCCTGGGAAGGAGGAAACATTGTAAACCACCCCCACCCCGCCGCCTTTTCCCAATAAGGAAATGGAGGCAAAGAAAGATTAAGTCTTTCCTCTAAATCACACTGCTATTCATGGCAGAGCTGGGATTCCAACCAGGCCAGCTGAGCCCAGAGCCTAGGCCTTATTCCCCCACCCAGACCAAAGAAATAACAGCAGTGACCTCGGGGTGGGTGACCTGAGCCAAGTGCTTCTGTGGAGAAAGTCCCATGAGCCACCACGGCCCATTTCACAGACGAGAATGCTGAGGCCACAGGCAGACTGCTGTGCCCAGGGCACCCAGCTCAGACCCACAGTCATGATTGGACAGAGGTCTGTCTGCTTCCGAAGCCTAGAATAACATTCCAGAAAGAGGAGATTGCCTAGAATAACGTTCACGGAGGAGGAAAGAGGAGGGAAGGAGGGAGCAGGGGCGGGGGAGAAGGGAGCAGAAGAGAAGCAGGTAACCCAGAGAGGAGAGGAGGGGAGGGGAGAGGAGAGGAGAGGAGAGGGAGGAGGATGGGGAGGAGGAGGGGACAGGGCGGGGCAGGGAGGAGAGCGGGAGGAAGGGAGGCTGGGGAGTTGCTTGTTCCGGGCTTTGCAGTCATAGGCAGGCAGCTGGGGGAACATGTCTTTCATCATTCATCTTCATCTGTTTTCTACCACTGTAACGGACTCCCAGAGACTGGGTAACTTATAAACAACAGAAGGGTGTTTGGCTCGCTGTTGAGAGGCTGGGAAGTTCAAGGTGCCAGCACCCGGCAAGGGTCTCCATGGTGCATGCTTCCTTCCACTGGAGAGAGCAGCAGGTGAAGGAGCAGAGAGGGGCAGCCGCTCCGGCGATGATGCCTTAGCCCCCTTGTGACGGCACAGCCCTTGTGACCTAGTCACCTCTTAGACACTGTGGCATTGGGAATTGAGTTTCCAGCACATGAACCTGGGGGTGTCTTCCAGCCATAACCTGAGCCACCTTAGAACCTCACCTTGCTCTCCCTTAATTCAGGGAGATCAACACTTAGAAACCACCCCACTCTACCTCTTCCATCTCACAGAAAATAACTTGAAGCACAGAGAGGTTACGTCATTTGCCCAATGTCACACAGCTCTCCAGAGTTAGAAATCAGACCCGGTCTGTCTGGCTCCAAATCTCTCAGCTCTGCCGGGTTTGTTGAGGAGTCTAAGCGTCTCATCCCTTGCTGTGCAGATGAGAACACTGGACCCAGAGAAAGCGGGGGCTCGCCCTCGGTTGCCCAGCAGTTAGTAACAGGACAAGAACAGGCTCTAAATCTCCTGCCCAGCGGAGAGGCTCCTGTATGGCACCATGGGCAGGGTGGTCACAACCGAGCCCTCAGGAGCCTACGGGGGCTCCGCGCTCACATACACTGAGCTCAGCTTTGTGTGACCGTTCCGCTAGGGCCACACAAAAACATTCTATACCAGGTGACCGCGGCCACGCCCGACAGTAGGAAGGAACAGAGGCTTTGCTACCAGACCCGGTCTGAGTCCATCTCCACCACTGTCCGCTGTGTGGCCCGGGTCAGGTCCTTCACCCTTCCAAGTCACAGCATCCTCATAGGCTGGGGACAGGAGGGGAAGGAGGAAGAAGGGGGGGCAGTGCCAGGCACCCCGTGGATCCTAGAAGGGCCCTGAGAGACCCCAGCTTCTAGTGGATTAGGAAACACCCGCAGCTCAGAGCTGCAGCTTTACCTCGGGTCTCCCCCACCCACCTGAGGCTGCACCGAGGCTTGGGCTTGGTCAGCTGGAGCCACATCTACCTTCTCCTAGCCAGCGGGCCCTTGGCGCTGGAGATGGGGGTGAGCGCTCACAGCCTGCCGCAGGCCCTGCAACCCTGCGACAGGCACTGCCAACCAATGGGCAGCCACCATCCTTCGGCATCCCGTGCCTAGGGCCTGAAGCTTGGGTTTTTCATCCCTGGAGTGAAAAAGCATGTTTTTTGTTGTTGTGTTCCCCTCCACCCCTCCTGTGGTATTGGAGAGTGAATCCAGGGCCTTCACCCTAGCTAATCCCCACCCCTTTTCATTCTGGCACAAGATCTCACTAAGTTGCCCAGGCTTGGCTCAATCTGGCAGCCTTCCTGCCTCAGCCTCCTTAGTACTAGGACCTTAGGCATGGGCCACCACGCCAAGCTGTGCTTTTGTTTTAAATAGGACTTTCAAGCCTAAGGCCTGACAGTTATGGGTGCTTGAGAGAGCAGTGGGCCTCTTCATAACGGGGATGGAAACCTGTCCAGACCCTTGGAACATCTGTGGGGTCAAAGTGGAGGACCTAGCTTTCTCCTTAATGCCCAGTTGTAGTGAGTTGGTGCTAGATTCCTGGAGCTCTGTGTTAAAGGGAAGCTGAGGCCACTTTCTGGCCTGCCTGGAAGGAGCACAGCAATTGATTAGCAATGCCTGTCCTGGTATGTGTATGGGGAGCTTTGCCTTCCCCAACCTGCTCTCTCCTCCAGCAAAAGAGGAGACATTGGCTCCAGAGACTCCAAGGGTTCTGGCTCTGCCGCTACCCTATCTCTGCAATGACTGCTCCAAGCACAGATGAAGCTTATATCACAGTTCCCAAGCTCTTTGGGATCCATTTCTGATTGATCCTTAGTGGTCATGAATCCCTAAAGTTAAAGCTAAAGGATCTCCTAGACCTCTCAGACCATCAGATGGCCGGACTAGGCTCACAGAGGCACCCAAGCCAAGGAAGCCTGACATGCTTTCTGTGACATGCAGAGTGCCCTGGAAGCCCAAGCTGTGCCTGCGCTGGATTTCCTCAGAGCCGCACACAGGCCACCTGGGAATGAGAGCGCCATCGTGGCCTTGGGCAAGTCACGAACATCTCTGAGCTGAGACTCACAGAGACTGCCTGCGGGAGGCCCCCACTTTGGATGAGGGACACTGTTGTTACCAGGAAGGGTCTTAGGGAAGGAGCACGTCCCGAAGACAGCTGAAAGAGCAGGAAGTCGGCTTCACGGCTGTGGCTGGCGGACTGCAGTCCCCCAGAAGGCCCCACCCCGAGCCCTGTCCCCTGAGAGTATGTCCCCTTCCATGGTAAAAGAGGAGGGGCCATGCCCAGGGGATCAGATCACAGATCTGGAGATGGGGAGGTACAGGCGGCCCGGTGTCATCACGGGTCAGAGGAGGGAGCGGGTGGTGCGGTCATGTCAGGGTTCAGGTTTCAAATGTCCCCCAAAACTCCTGTGCTGAAAGCTTAGTTTGCCAGCGGATGGGCTTTTGGGGAAGTGACTGTATGGCGAGGGCTCTGATGTCATCAAGCGGATTAATCCATTCATGAGATCAAAATTTGATGGCATTATTTCAAGGTGACAGAAACTGGAGGTGGGGCCTAGTGGAGGAGAGCAGATGGGGGCGTGACCTTGAGGACCACAGGTGGCCTCCTGCCCTTCCTCTCTGGAGCTCTCTCTCTCATGCTCTCTTTCCCTCTGTCTCCCTCTGTCTTGCTCTCTCTCTGCCTCTCTCTGTCTCTCTCTGTCTCATCTGTCTCTCTCTGTGTGTCTGTCTCTCTCTGTCTCTGTCTCTGTCTCTCTCTGTTTCTCTGTCTCTCTCTCTGTCTCTCTCTCTGTCTGTCTCTCTCTCTCTCTCTCTCTCTCTCTGTCTCTCTGCTTGCGGTTGCTGTGCTCTTCTGCCATGTCTCTGCCTCACCACAGGGCTAAAGCGATGGAGCCGGCTAACCTTGGTCAAGACTCTGGGGTGGCTTCCATTTTCCAGCTGGTGGAAGGCAGGCCCAGAGAAGGTTAACAACTGCCCCAAACCACACAGCAAATCCTGAGCGGCTGATCAGTAGTCCCGATCCCCAGAGAACTCCCCTGCTCCCACTGCACCGCACACACACACACACACACACACACACGTGTACCCACAAACACACGTGTACACACATACTCGCTTCTCACGACTTCGTCCCTGCCCATCTCCCCAGCCGCATGGCCCGCCTCCTCTCCCCTCCTGTTCAGAACCATTGCGTGGTTTAAACCCTGGCCATCCTTGTCTGGGCTGCCTCTTCTGCTATGCATGTCCTCTTGCAGCCCTGTGCCCAGCCTAGTCACCCGGTCTCTTTGGGAGGCTGGCTCCGCTGTCCCTCCTCCCGTCAGTCTCCAGCGCTGTCCCTCTCTCCACCACCTGGGGGAAGGGCTCCCTCCTGCCAGGTAGGTCTGTGCCTGCTCCCACGTCATCCTGTCCCAGTCACACTACCCTTTCATTATTCCTTGCGATGTCTGTCTCTGCCCCTGAGCTGCCGTCCCCCTGCCTCCCCCCGTAGACCCGACCCCGCACCCACACCGCCCTCCCCAGGGCCAGCTGTTAGCATGAGTGACTAGCAGTGGATGAGAAGCACCAAAGCCACTGTATGTCAGGGCAGTCATCCTAGAGGTCATGAACACAACACACACAACTTTTGAGATAGGTCCGAAAG